GGCTCAATATTTTGATATAATGTGTAGAATGATAAAATCAATGAAATATGTAAATATCATTCCTGAACAACCTTGCGCTCTATAAATTCTATAGCTAAAATGGTTGAAAGTTTGTTCAATTTGTCCTTTTTCTAACAAAATGATATAAAATCGGACGAGTTTGTGACGTCATAAAAACAAAAATAATCATTAAACTACTTTGAAACTATAATATGTTCTGTTAATTCATTTTTTTAAATACAAACCCTTAAAATTAAATGTTTACCAAGAGTCAAAAATTAGCCTTAATATGTTTGCTTGTTTGTTGTTCAATGTCCCTCTCGAGAATTTTTCACTCCTATGGAGAGGCCACAGATAGAGAGCTGCAAGTTTTAACCGCATTCAGGGCCATTGAGCAACGAGAGTTCTTTTTTGCCATCATCTACTGCGACACGGGATCTCTCTATACTGTAGATTCCTAATTATACGTGAGGAATTAATTTCCGCGTAATTTCGCGAGAAGCATCAATCGCAAAAAATATTTACTCGCTTTTATCTTTATGGTGCTGAAATCTGTTGATCAACCGTCCATTCGCCAATTATAATTCTCGCGATTTGACGTTTAAGAGCCTGTTCGCGATAAAAAGTACTCGCAAAAAATAAGGAATCTACAGTATCCAGTCTCATTCGACGGACCTGTCTCCATGCCGCACTTTGTGATTTGATCCCGCAAGGTTAGGATAAAGTCCTTACTATGCAACTCTGGAGTAGAAGCTCTATCAATGCGCCACGAGGATGACGGCTTAAATATGAATTGGACAGTGTAATGTATAAAGGTGATGAATCAAGAAAGAATATTGAATAAAGAAAGACCATCTGTTACTATGGCGTCATTATTTTGGTTCATTTGAAGGTTTTAACCCAAAAATAGCCTCCAAGATGACCCATTTAAAAGTAAAACAATATTCGTGTCATTACAAAACTGAAAGAAATTGTCCTAATTTTTAAAGGTTTCTTTTTATGCAATATATGACATCGTTATTTAACACAATTACCTCTTTGCAAGATATATTTTTATATGTTTATAATTCCAATTTTTTAACAGAAGAAAAACCTTCAGGCTGTTGCAATTCCTATTGTCAAAGCAGAGTTGCGCGTAATTTAAAATCATTTGTCCATACTTACAAATATTACACATTGGACCTTTCCATCCTGTAGGACAATTACTACAGTTTCCATAGAAACGATCACATGCTTCACCATTCAAACAGTTTCCACTACATCTCTCTAAGCAATTTCTCCCATATTCTCCACTGTCACAAGCTAAAACAACGAGCAGGCATTATACATATATTACATGGCTTCGAGGGCAGCATACCAGAATATTTGCCCCTCGGTGCCAGGAAAGCCCTGGAGTGTTATGTCGCCCGATGCCGCAGGCAGAGGGCGACATAACACTCCAGGGCTTTCCTGGCACCGAGGAGCAAATATTCTGGTATTTCGGCCAGAGAATTAAGCCATGTAATATATGGTATGTAATATTTTTAAGCATTGAACCCAAATCGATCATCAAACATATTTATTGAACACTATGTACACATATGTACGTTGAGTATAATTCCAAAATATCCCGTCCTGTTTCACGGCAAAATGTGTTCAGTATGCTGACACTTGTGTTGATAACCTTTGTTGTATTTAAAGAATTTTCTCCTCAATTAAATTATCTTATTCCTCTGAATTCAAATAAACAAATCGCAGACGTTGTCTCGACTTTTTAACTTTCGCGGAACTGTCTACGTTTGCTAAGCAATTGCCTCTGTGAATTTCGAACCCGACGTAATTGATATGCAGAATGATTGCACGCGAAGGAACATAACTGTGTTCGGGAGGGCAACATAACTGTTTCCGGTGGAACATAACTGTATCCGGCGTGATTCAGCAGTTTTTCAGGGCATTTGGATAAAAATATTAAATTTCTGATATAATGGGAAAACTTCTTCAAAAATGATATATAAAGTTATTGTTTGCATTTACACCTACGTGTAGCAAGTATGCGAGAGTATCTAACATCTAATTTTAATTAGATTGTATTTAAACATCAAGATTTTCCGCCATTATTCCTTTTATTTATTCATTGTTTAAAGTAATTTAATGATTTGATGATGTTAACTTTAGTTCCTATCCGAGGTATTCCTAACTTTGTTCAGTAAGATAGAGACACATTGCTTACTTTGTAGACTTAGTATTCTTTCTTGATATTAAGACAGAAGATTCCATTTTTCAACAAGTTTCAATAAAATACATGAGAGAAGTTACTATTTCAAGTCTTGTTATCAGATTGATATTTATGTTATTGAAATATTATTGGAGTATCACTAAATAGGAATCTTCAGCACAAAGACATTCTTTTGGTACCAAATAAAGCCCTCAGAATAACCCATTTCAAATTTGGACTTTGACCTTGACCTTTTAGTTTGACCTACTTTAAAAAAATAAACCTGGCCATAACTTCTGAACAGTTAGAGCCACGGCTTCCATACTCTACAAAAGTATTCTATGTGGCAAGACCTTTCATTGGCCGACTTTCAAATTTCACGATTGTTTTCCAGTGAGAATACCCTACTTTTGGTACCAATTAATTAAATTTGCATATAAGAAAAGTTTAATCTTTCCTATGTTGGCATACGGGGGCATCAGTGTCTCACAAACACATCTTGTTTTTGTTTCACATTGCGGCTAATTTAAAAATATATATTTTTAGGTCCTTTCCGACTTGCCTGGTAGAATTCTTTTTTTTAATTTTTAATTCTTTTATAAGATACTTTTAAATAAATGTAAGGAAGTATGTAAGGTTACAAGCATGTTTATACTTACAAATATTACACATTGAACCTTTCCATCCTGCAGAACAAGAACTACAGTTTCCATTAAAATGATCACACGTTTCACCATTCAAACAGTTTCCACTACACTTCTCTAAGCAATCTCTCCCATATTCACCGCTGTCACAAGCTGAAGAAATATTTAGATATAACTTACATGCATCCGCTACAATTCATGTAAAACTGAATTGTATTATCGATTAAAGAGAAGAAAAATTCGTGTTAGTACGTCAAGCCTGAGAGAAATCCCCCCTTTTTAAAGATTCCTTTTGATGCAGTCGAGAAATGAATAGCATTTAACATCGGTATTTAACACATTGGCCTTTTTGCAAGATATCTTGGTCAAGATATTAAGGATTGTCCTGCTCTTCAAATTCTTTTGTGCATAGGAATAGGATTTCAAAGAAAGAGTTTATTATTCCAAATTTTTGACTGAAGAAACCCCTTCAGACTGTCGCAATTTCTTTTTTCAAAGCAGAGTTGCACGTAATTTGAAATCATTTGTCCATACTCACAAATATTACACATTGGACCTTTCCATCCAGCAGAACAAGAACTACAGTTTCCATTAAAACGATCACACGTTTCACCATTCAAACAGTTTCCACTACACTTCTCTAAGCAATCTCTCCCATATTCGCCGCTGTCACAGGCTGGAGAAATATTTAGATATAACTTACATGCATCCGCTACAATTCATGTAAAACTGAGTTGTATTATCGATTAAAGAGAAGAAAAATTCGTTTTAGTACAAGCCTGAGAAAAAGCCCCCCTTTTTAAAGATTCCTTTCGATGCAGTCGAGAAATGAATAGCATTTAAGGTTCATAAACCCTCTGCTCACTCATATAAAATTTTGCTCAAACCTTAATGAATTTCCAAAAGAAATGTAATTTATAAGTAAAATACAAACAATTATAGCATAGCTTGTGGGGCAAAATTCGACAAAAAAGACACTTCAACTTGGCAAATCTATAAAGGAATGATATACATTTATGTCATTAAAAGTTATCTCTCTTATCAGAGTATCGATGACCCTTAACATCGGTATTTAACACATTGGACTTTTTGCAAGATATCTTGGTCAAGATATTAAGAATTGTCCTGCTCTTCAAATTCTTTTGTGCACAGGAATAGGATTTCAAAGAAAGAGTTTAATATTCCAAACTTCTGACTGAAGAAACCCCTTCTGGAGCGCTGTCGCAATTTCTTTCGTCAAAGCAGAGTTGCGCGTGATTTAAAAGCATTTGTCCATACTTACAAATATTACACATTGGACCTTTCCATCCTGCAGAACAAGAACTACAGTTTCCATTAAAACGATCACACGTTTCACCATTCAAACAGTTTCCACTACACTTCTCTAAGCAATCTCTCCAATATTCGCCGCTGTCACAGGCTGAAGAAATATTTAGATATAACTTACATGCATCCGCTACAATTCATGTAAAACTTGAGTTGTATTATCGATTAAAGAGAAGAAAAATTCGTGTTAGTACGTCAAGCCTGAGAGAAATCCCCCCTTTTTAAAGATTCCTTTTGAAGCAGTCGAGAAATGAATAACATTTAACATCAGTATTTAACATATTGGCCTTTTTGCAAGATGTCTTGGTCAAGATATTAAGAATTGTCCTGCTCTACAAATTCTTTTGTGTACAAGAATAGGATTTCAAAGAAAGAGTTTATTATTCAAAATTTTTGACTGAAGAAACCCCTTCAGTCTGTCGCAATTTCTTTTGTCAAAGCAGAGTTGCACGTAATTTGAAATCATTTGTCCATACTCACAAATATTACACACTGGACCTTTCCATCCTGCAGAACAAGAACTACAGTTTCCATTAAAACGATCACACGTTTCACCATTCAAACAGTTTCCACTACACTCTTCTAAGCAATCTCTCCCATATTCGCCGCTGTCACAAGCTGAAGAAATATTTAGATATAACTTACATGCATCCGCTAAAATTCATGCATGTAAAACTGAACTGTTTTATCGACTAAAGAGAAGAAAAAATCGTTTTAGTACAAGCCTGAGAGAAATCCTCCCGTTTTAAAAATTCCTTTTGATGCAGTCGAAAAAACGAATAAATTTAACATCGATATTAAACACATTGGCCTTTTTGCAAGATACCTTGGTCAAGATATTAAGAATTTATTTTCTCCCTCGTTTCACTCCTCCGCAAAGAAATATTTTCTTGGCTAATTTATTGGAAAACAAAGAAAAAGAATATACTGTAGGATTGTTGCGTTCGTTACAAATCGCTTTTTTATTAAAAACATACAAATCAAACTCATAAATTTTACATGATAAACAATGCAAGGGCAGGGAGGGCAGGGAAAACCAAAGACACAAAACAACCTGCGATTCTTTGTAACGAACGTCGCATTACTGTACAGCAGGAAATTAACTCGCGGAGTTAATATTCGCTATATTCGCGGGAGAAGAAATTCCGCGAATTCAACATACAGTGAATAATTCTTTAAAGATTTATAAGGATAAATTGAAATTTTGTTATTATCTGTAATTAGATTCTTCAAATCTATTTCAAATTGTCTTTCCGTACACACAAAGGCAGTAATTTATCCGAGATGTAGACTGTCTTTATAATTTTGCGGGTGTATGGATCAATTACAAACACATAGTTGACGTTATTTTAAAGTTTGTTAATTGTTAAATTAATTTCTATAGCCAACGATTAATTTTGCCATCTAGTAGACGTTTGATGTAATTATTTATCAAAACATACTTGTTTAAAACAGTTGTCACTTACATCTCTTTAATCAAGGCAATTACTGGTAAACAGAGTAAAAACAATTAATTAATTTCAATTATATGATTAAAAGTTCAACATTTTGACTACGATACATTTTTTTTTTCTGATTTGGACCTGGAAATAAATAAAAATCTTAATGCTGTAACATTGTTTTGACTTCAAATCGGGATCAGTCCAGTGTTTCGTTGTTATTCAATCGGGCTTAAAATCGACCAAATATGTAGACTTTACTTTCCTATCTGATATACGGGATATACATGTACAAATTTTGTAACACAGACACGGGAAATATCATTTCTCATTATATACTTTAAAGAAAAAGGCTTGCAAGTACTTTTAAAAAATTTAATTTTTCCTTTCCGCGAATTCAAACGACCGCGATTTGCTATAATTGAACAAATCCCTTATGATAAATAAAACCGCGATTTTAACCTGCTATACAGTAATCGAACATTCCCCGGTAAAAGTATTTATAGTGAGCCCTAAATCGCGGTGCATGAATAAAACCCAGATTCTTTAGATACGAAGTTTCACGGAGAATACCGAAGTAAAAACGAAAAGAAATAAATTGTCCTGCTCTACAAATTCTTTGGTGCACAGAAAAGAGTTAATTATTCTAAATTATTGACGGAAGAAACGCCTTCAGGCTGTTGCAATTTCTTTTGTCAAAGCAGAGTTGCGCGTAATTTGAAATCATTTGTCCATACTTACAAATATTGCACATTGGACCTTTCCATCCTGTAGGACAATTACTACAGTTTCCATAGAAACGATCACATTCACCATTCAAACAGTTTCCACTACATCTCTCTAAGCAATCTTTCCCATATTCTCCACTGTCACAAGCTAAAATAACATGTTGATATAAAGTTATACTTCTCATCAAAAATTTTCTCCATCATAACCCTATTGCAACAGAGTTGGACGTTATGATATTATAGTAACGCACTTATGTTTCTATGTGTGAGGGATGTGTATGTGTATTGTTCTTGTGCGAAAGGGAAGTGACGTTACTTGCAAAGGGATCGAGGTCGAACGCTGTCTTGATTTATAGACCTACTGTTTGCGATGGAGTGCTTCACTTTGCAGTACCCTTATTTTCTTTATTTCTCTTTTGTGCTTTAAAGCAATATGAGCTGCATTTTTGAAATTTTTATTTCGCTGGTAAAATGTGTTATTTAGATTAATCAGTATGTAATCTAAACCCTTATGATAAATAAAACCAAAATAAAGTTTAAAAATGTTTCAGAAGAAATATTTCAGTACAACCGAATATAGAGTATTATATAAGAAATCATTATTGTACAGGATGACAATAATTCAATTTTTCTTCAAAAAAAGTATACAAAAAGTTCTTTCATAGCAAATATGAACAACAGAACTTTATAAATGTTCTATCTTTCTGTCATTGAAATAGTTAATTACAAATTTGCAACTTTTTTTCCGATGTCAAACATGCAGCTCCAATTGCTTTAAAGGAATACATAGTTACACAAGTTTCTGTTAATCTTTTACTTCTATCAGATATAATTAACTTTGCTGAGTCATAAAACGAGTATGCTCTTTATTTTGCAAACTTAATACTCTCTTCTCTTATCTAGGCAGAAGGTTCTACTTTTCAAAAATTCTAATACATTTAAAAAAGTCCTTGTTGGTAGTTTTTCTTGTCGGATCAATATTAAAGGTCAAATATCAAGGAAATAGATATACGTGTATGTAATATATGCTGTAAACAATGGTTAAAAAGAAGGAATTACAATATTCGTTTAATTTTAAACCTCGTTGTTTTCTTAATTTCCTGTTCAAATATCGCTAAAAATAACGTTCATCAATAGAGTTACTTCCCCTTTTTGTGACGTCATTAGAGACACTCGACAAAATCTAGTTACATAAGTATAGTAAAAAGTGCTCTTGATTATCTAAATTATGGCAAATTTTGAGGAACAGAAATGTTGATATATCAGAGTAATGCATAAATCTGTCTGTTAAGAATAGGCTTTGTATATTTGAGTTAAGAAAGCACGCAAATTGATTATTCTTCTTCGACTGATTCCGTTTCGTCCGAAGCCGGTACGGGTGAAAGTGGAAATTAAAATAACACAAATGACAAGGGTCATTGCAGAAAATTGAGGAACAATCACTTGCGTGCATGAACACTGGGGTTTTAATGTTTGAATAAATATGTAATGGAAACAATTTTAATATAAAGATTTTCTAGAAAAAGGGACAACTGGAAGTAAATGAACGCATTATTGAGTAAGTAAATTCTGAGACAGATATCATGCGCCGATTTAGAGGGGGAATTTCCGGGACATACCCCATCCCAAATGAGATTTTTTTTAGACACGATAACTTGGCAGATAGTCAATTCCTTGTCTATTATACCACACCTTCCGTTTTTTTATCAATCGAATTTTAGGGATTGTTCCTCCACAGTATATGAAAATTGCTTTATTTTTTTTTTTTACTCTGGACAGCCTATTCGAGGTTCACGCCGAAAATGTACTATTGACTTGGCGCCGCGTAATGTTCAGTCATGTTTATATACCGAGTGCATGCTCTAATGTAAAGGGCCAATCTCTAAAACTTGACAAAAGTGGAAAATATAAAATATCGAACAGACAAGGAATTCATGTATATTTTGCTTAGTTTTATTTTCAGTAGGGGGAAGGGGCAAAGTACAAGAACCAATCGTCAGGTACTTGTGATCTTGTTGAGTACTGTAACAAGAATTAAAAAAAAACTTTCCCTCAAAACAGTATTGCGGCTATAAATGCCTAAACTGACAAATTGAAAAATGCAATTTAGAAAAAAAAAACAAGAAATTCGTGAGATAATCTTATAATTAATTGTAGCCCATTGGCGGATCCAGAGGGGGGTTCCGGGGGTTGGAACCCCCCCTTTATTTTTTTCCAAGTGGAGAGAGAGAGAGAAAGAGATAAAACGTTATCTGAGAAAAAATATTTGTACATCTAACTTATGTATTGAATAGCTGGATTCCCACATATTTAGTTTCCTCCATTCACCTTCATTATTATACCTTTTTATGAGCGAATGGTAGAGAATATTCTACTTATTTTTATACATGTATATCTTATATATGGTATGTAACATGCGAGGTTTAATTTGATATGATATTCCCGTGATCTTTGGCTGTGTTGGCTATATATATGTACCCTTTCTTAGCATATGTTTTGAATGAACTAATATAAAAATCTTTGTTTTAAACCCCATCCGCATCTTACCCCAAAATAGTTTTTTTTTTAAATTCCAAAAGATTTTTTTGTCGGAAATGCAGCAGACCCATTCAATTTTATAAGGCTTCATTAGTATTTAAAATGATTTTTTTAATTCTGACTTGGGGTACCTTTTCAAAGAAAAAAGGGATGTAAACAAAGATATTATTTATCACAACATAAGATCTCTTTCAATACGTGTGTGTAAATCTTTGCTTGAGAGTGTGTAAAGGGGGGGGTTAGAGGGACACAACCCTGGAACCCCCCCCCCCCCCTTTGAAAAATTGCTGGATCCGCCCCTGTTGTAGCCTAAACTGGTATATATGTAAAATGTCGCTTACAAATATTTATAGTGTTTCGTGTTTATTGGGCTCATAACCATCTCTTTTTTAAATTGAATGTCCATATTTCCCTCAAGTTCAGGTGCGTAAGAATTTAAATATATACTCATGTCTTGTTCCGATTTATTGGTACAGTTAAAAGCCCACATGGCAACATCTCGCAAACAATAATGTTCAAAACACGACAATACAGCATGCACTTCCTATTTCACGCTGTCTCTGATGACGTCACGCAACAAGGGAGATAAGAGATTTACAATGAATGATCCACTTGTCATACAGGTAAGTCTAAACGACTATTAGTGATGGAAATTGGTGACAAAAATTTAAATAGACCTCAGAATGTCATTCATATTGCTCCAGAGACTGACAATAATGAATAATTATGAATTTTCACAAAAATATTATACTTGACCTTTAATGTTTTAAAGCTTCCCTTTTAGGGATTTTAAACATGAATGAAGTAATTCTTTTATCATTGTATTATTTTTTTTATTTCAAAGTTATCCTTTGTGAGAAGATACATTTGCTGGCAACATTATATGATGTAAACAATAACATGTATTTCCACTGGTGAAAACATCATGCCGAACCACATCCAAATCTACATGAAGAGTCATCTTTGTTGATACAAAAAAAAGAACAATTCATTAACTTTCCAAATAATTCTCATCACAGACCCTAAAACGTGCAGCTTCTACATAATTAAAGCGTCTGACTTTCTTGTGTCTTTCATTTCGTTTAAAACATGCACCATATACCGCTTCTTGAAGGGCTTATACCCCCCCTCAAAAAAAAGGAGATCTAAGCGTTTTTTTGGTATTTTTTAGTCATGTAATTATGATTAAAAGGCTTTTACTAATATGACAAAAGTAAACATGTATGTTCTTAATATTGCAATAAATGCGTACTTTACCCTAAGCCAAGGATCGAGCGTTTGGCCTAAAATATTGAGTGTAAACTCAATCGAATGTTTCAATAGATCATATGTAATGTGAACCTGCTTTTAACGAAACAAAAATTTCATCCAGTCTTATCAAATTGGCCTGGTATAATAACAAAGAAAATATTCGCAAGGTTTTTATTTAAACAATTTTCATATGATACTTAATATTTGGAAATATGTAAGGTAACAAACATGTTAATACTTACAAATATTACACATTGAACCTTTCCATCCTGCAGAACAAGAACTACAGTTTCCATTAAAACGATCGCACGTTTCACCATTCAAACAGTTTCCACTACATCTCTCTAAGCAATCTCTCCCATATTCGCCGCTGTCACAGGCTGAAGGAATATATTTAGTTATTACTTACATATTTCATAACCTAACATTCCGTATATTCCATCCACCTAATATATTGTATATAATATAAGCCTTATGTGTTGTATATTATTACATTTATCCCATGTTTACCCATTTCTCTCGAGGACATGGTTCATTGGATATTTTTTTATATCACACAGTTAAGTGCAGTTGTGATGTCACGATGGTTTTTGCGTTAAAGTGGAGTTCTTATAAAAACAGGGTAAAACATTGCTTGTGAAGTATTTCAAAAACATCGGATAAAAAGAATCTCCAATTATTTTTAGTTGGATATGACTTTTATTTAACTCGATGTGTGTTTTTAGATAAAACACACAACTCGTTGGATAAAAAAAATCATCAACTACAAATCAAGGGAGATCCAATATACATTTAACATGTTTTAAAACATTGCTAAGACATCATGCCTTTGCTCTTGCAGTCTATAAATTTAATTTTAGTCGTCCAATAATAAAATTTACCAGTCCAATAACATGGATAATATATCAACGGACAGTAGTTATAACAAAATCGGGCATTATTTAAACAACAACCTGTGAAGGTTTAATATATCTAGAAACAAAAAAAGCTATGAAAAAAACAAATTCGGGGAAAAAGAACGCAAAGAAACACTTTCCATTGTTTTGTTTTTTGGCTTTTTTTTTTTGTGTGTGTGTGTGTTTTTGCTAAAGCACTGTAAATAATCGAATTAAAATCCATTCATGAAAACAAAACTGCAAATCTCTCATTTTACGAAGTTCGCTCGTCCATGGCCACACTATCATAACCCGAGACTTTCATCCACATAAAGGTTTTGGATAAAACCCCGCATTTTTACTTTCAATAGTGTTGTTATCATCCGAAATGTGTCTCTATCAATCTCAAGCGCACTGAATTAAAAAAAATTCTGAATCATATTCATAAAAAAAATACCATTGTCCATTACTCCTTCTATAAGTAAGAAAAACGAATGCCATTTAATGAATGAATGAAACAAAGGAGTTCGCTCACTATTTGTACTGTCTAAAGAAAAAATACTTTCTCTTTTCTTTTGTTTACTAATACATGTAATAAGATACAATATGTAGCTTCAGGTAGAAAACAATTGATGCCTGAATCCTATTGTGTAATTATAGGATTTCTCCAGGTAACTGTTTGGACAAATAAATGGCAATGTTTTAAGTAACATATACAAGAATGCACTATTTTAGGCCCGCTAGGGCCGAAAACAGTCATATAATTTTAAATAAAGAACAGTATTCCGCATATTTAACATTTCTATTGAAGAAATTCTTCAATATCATATGCCAGTTTTAAATACTTTTAATATTCCAAACAACTAAGAATGAATTTGAATTACCATATCTATACTGGATTCCAATATTTCATGCAAACTTTAAAATACATAGCGGGTTCCAAGATCCTTTTTTACTCCAAACTAAGATATTAACATTAGTGAAGGAGAGCTTCAAGAGTACTGTGCAAAAATATATTCGAGAAGTGGCGTAAATTAGATGTGAAGACTTCAAAATTCCTAGGAATTTTTGAAAATTTTGAAATCAGAATCAAAATCGACAGCTTAAAAACTTAACGACTTTTCCACTTTATACACAACCATTCCCCATAATAAATTGAAATCCAGGCTTTTTTATATCATTGGCACTGCTTTTTCAATAAAAAGGAACTCCTAAATTTACTCTCCTTGTCATTGCTCATTTGCAAAATTATTTTGTTTAAAACATTCTGATTGTACACACAAGTATTCTAAAGTTGACATTTAAAAGATGGTTGAGTTTCTGGTTGACATTTTCTTTTTTGCTTTTGGAGATCAGGTCTTTCAACAATCTATTGGAATTCCTATGAGTATAAGTTGCGCCCCATTATTAGCAGACAGTTTGGTATTCAAACAAAGCAGAATTTATCCAAAATCTTGTACGTTATAATTCAAAAAGGAAAATACTTGCCGTGGCCTTCAACTCGACATTTAAATATGACATTGGTATTAAATAATATCGACGACATATTGTCAATAAACAATGATACCATACAGTCTGACACATCGGTTTCATATTTTGATATTTTACTTGAAAAAGAAGTGAATGGCAATCTAACCAGAAGTCTCTGTCGAGACTGAAGCTCTACTGTATTGTACTTATAACAAATGCAAAAAAAGTAGCAGTTGGGACTTGAAACTTTACAACAGCAATAAATAGAATTGTGATGCTTGATTGAGCTCTTTTTGTGGCAAGATACTGCAATAAAGCTACAGCTGTAGGAGTAGCTATTTATAAACTTTTGGAGTATTTTCAATTATAGTAACCATGGCAACATCATTCATCGAAATCAAAATCTATAAATAGAATTATGTATCTTAGTGTGGTCTACTTGTGTGCCAAGTTATAATGAAATCAGACCAAAACTGTAGGAGGAGTAGCATTTTGAAATATTGTTTACAGAGACAGACAGAGAGACAGACGAACGGACGCCGAATGCATTACTATCGCATAAGCTCCTCCAGTAGAGCTTTAAACCAAGCTGTATAATAAATGTGATGAATTTAACTTTTCAATCGTCAACTTTCTTTTCTTTCATTACTGCATACAGGGTTTATATCCCTCATTTGATTCGATACTCAAGAGCATGCTCTATACATATACAATTTCTAAATCGATGTGAATTATTGACAAACAAGCTGATGAAACAAGATTTTTAGCAGTCATCATTTCGTAAGTTCTATGGTCAATACAATGACCTTGTCAGCAAATAAAATTTATCATCGGGTTAAATTCTGACTTTTCTTTTTCATACTCATTGTTTGGGCTATTATTATACCCCCGCTTGAAAAGGGGGAGGGTATATAGTAATCGGTATGTCCGTTCGTCCGTCTGTTACGCTTTGAGGTACCCATCTCTTATCCGCAACTCCTCTCATACGACTGAAGGAAATTTAATGAAACTTTCACATAATCTTTATTACATATTGCCATTGTAATCTCCTATTTTACTTTTTGATCTGACATATAAATTGGATTTTCCAGAGCAAAGCATGGATACTGCCATTATATTCATATGGGTGGCAGGGGGTATTATTAAGTGAGATCATTGCTCACAGTACCTCTAGTTTACACTCTGGATTGTGGACGGATGTTTCGGCTATTTCAAGATCACGACAAGGAGTACATGACGGTTGTGATGGTCGGCAGGGGATAATCACTTCTCAATGGCACCTGATTCCACCTCAATGTTTTAGAAGTCCTTGTTAGAACTTGTATACCGTTGTTATCTCTAAATATTCCATACACCTAAGTAACATGTTGTAAATTATATACATCTAACATGTAAATACATACAGGTGTTGCACTCTACCCCTTTCCATCCCGTGTCACAACTGCCTGTACAATTCCCTTCATGACGATCGCAATTGCAATGTCCACAGATAAGAGTGCAGTTTTCTCCATACAGTCCGTTTAAACAATCTGTGCAATTAGAAATTAAACAAAATGAAGCAATGTAGGGGGGGGGGCTCAAATCTGGTTAAAATGTGAAAAAAGTTAATAAAGTGAAAATATGTTCTAGTTCAAAAAAAAAAATGTTTTTCTTGTAAAAATCTTTTTAGCATGAGGTTGAAGAATCTGAATAAAAAAAAAATAACCAGCTGGTTTTTGGCAGATGAAACCCTCGAGAATTGAACATTCGCGATCGTTCCATTTTCCCTGATCGTTCATAAAATTTATTTCCACACAATCCTCTTTTCCACCATAATTATTTGGTTCCCCAGCATACCAGTTATAGTATGTGCCGACCTACAAAATTGGTACACAAACATTACAGTACAAAAATAATAGAACATTGGAATTATATTCATGTACAGTGTACTGGAATATTGCCATGAAAAAAAATCAATGATTAATTTAGTTTATTCTGACAATTAATGTCATTTTGATATTAATCAGGATTTTACTGTTCCATCCGTCCATTGCCATGTACCCTCCTGAGTCCTGTCATTTAGTCCAAGCCAATATTGTTTTCCTTGTGACTGTACTAAAAAGACGGAAAATGCGTATTTTATGCCAAAGCAAGAGCAAAATCAGACATTAAAAAAACAGCATATGTTATTAATGTTTTAGTTTGCTATTACTGGTATTTAAAACATAAGTGTAATATCAGACTGCCTCAGTACTGGACTTTTACGAGAAGCACTGACTTCTATAGGACTTTTACGGGGAATGCTGACTTTTACAGATAACGCTTACTTTTACAATCGGGCTATGTATGGTAGCTCCTTTACGATATAAATATTTAGTTCAACATTTAATTAAACGGAAATAACGGGTTATTTTAATGCACATATAAGTTGTCCTTGAAGAAAACGACAATGACCCTACCCTCAACTCCCGGTCTTCGCATGTTAGTGTCCTGAACACCATACCTTTGACCACAAGAAAGGTTTTCTTATGCATTATCAATTCTGTACTTCCGTACATAATATAAGTTTAAATGTCCAAGTAAACGTCAACTGTAAAAGTGCTTCTCGTTAAAGTCCATAGCTGACAGTTTACTTGGACATTTAAACTTGTATCATGTATGGAGGAACAGAATTGATAATACATAAGAAAATCTTTCTAATGGACATAGGTATGGTGGTAGGGGCACTTAGATGTGAAGGCCGGGAGCTGAAGGTTGAGTGGTTTTCATTTTCTTCAAGGACAACTTAGATGTGCATTGAAATTTTAAAATATTCGTTTCATTAAATGTTAAATATTTATATCGTAAAAGGGCTTCCGTACATTGTCCTAGTGTAAAAGTAAACCATCAATTGTAAAAGTCATCGCTCCTCATAAAAGTCCTCTTATATCCTTCAAAATTGGACTGTTACTGATAAAAAAAAATCTATTCTGAAATATATAGAAAGATATAATATAAAAGATTCAAACATGATCTCTCTGAATTTACAATAAACTTGAGAGACTTTAGTAGTTTTCTTCAATAATATGGTTTTTGAAAATATTGCTTTATTGGTCATTCGCACTTTTGATTTTTTTAAGGAAGCTCTAAACACTAACAGAAACTGTTTTTAGACTCCGGGAAAAATATAACATATAAAGATAAGCATATTGAGACTTTTTCATTCATTTAGAACAAAGGGTACATGTACGTGCCTTATTTGCGCAGGGAAAATTTTCAAAGACAATGGACTATTTGTGAGCAGAAACCACTGTTGCTTACTTACATTGGGAAAATTAATGAAAATACATTAAAATTCTTACTCTTTGTCTAATATAATGTTAAAAATATTTTAATCTATTATAAATCATGAAATTGACAGTAAGTACAATTTCTTTAATATTACATCTAGGGGCAAATCACTCTAATTGCATAAAACTACCAAATAAATAGAGCTCTTGCGTGTGCAGTGTTTAGGGCGTCCTTAAAATAACGGACTCGCAAGTACATCAGAATGTCGTTTAGTGGGCAATGTTGTAAGTACGATAGATGTCTAATACAATTCTTTATGGACAAAATATCAGACAGTTTTCGGTCTAAAATGGCCTCAAACTGTCAAAATTATAGAAAACTTACTGAAAATATAAGACTGGACGGTTGCTGAGTTTATGGTTACTAGATCCGCCCCTGTATTCCGACAAGTTTGGTTGGCATCAGGCCATGATAACTTAGTATCATTAAACTGGTAGCAAATTCCATTGAAAGGTGACCAGTTGTCGGTACATTTAAACTGGGTTGCTGTCAAAGAAAAATATATATATTAAAATAACTACATGTGCAGATGCATTTCTTGTTGCTAAGGCAACAAATGGTCTTGCGACCAACTTTTCTCCAGAAATATATGCTTCATCGTCTTATAACATTATTTTACTGAATGTGATTTTTTTCGTCTGCGTTCATGTACCATGTACCAAAGTCTTGCAACATACAGCATGATTAATAAGTTTCAAATAGAATCTCTGATTAAAAAGATTTAAAAATCGACAAAAACTATCATACATGTTTTCAAAGAGAGAAATATCACTATACCCCCCTTGAAAAGTGGGAGGTTATATTTATTTAATCTGGATGTCCAACCGTCTGTCTGTCTAGCTGTCCGCCTGCCCGTCTGTTACGCTTTGTGGTACCCATCTCTTATCCGCAACTCTTCTCATACCATTGAAGGAAATTTGATGAAATTTTCACAGAATCTTTATTACATATTGCCATTGTTCAAGTACTGTTTTACTTTTTTGATACAACACATATTTTGATACAACACACATTCACAACGAAACATTGACACTGACATTAAATTCATATGGTAGGTGGGGAGTATCATTAAGTGAGCTCATGACTCACAGTACCTCTATTTTTTTCTTTTATTTTAATCTTTTTCAGGTAGTAATTTACATGTATTATTGAACAACTGAATTTAAAGTTTCATGTACCTTGAACACTCATTAAAACATCTCTCTACTCTATTTCTTGAAATCCTTTTAAAAGCATTTCTGAATTCAATTTTGAAAATGCAGTTGGCTTTAAAGTCTTTGTATTATACTTTTATAAGTTACAATTTTCAGTAATGTTCTAAGACATATCATGGTTGATTTTAATAAGCGCTGGCGTCAGAAAACAACTAACAATTATTTGTTACCGTAATCAAATACAATATTTTTCGTAAATTATTCATTTTTTATTACTAGTACTGCGTCTCCATATGAGTGAAAAATTCTCCAGAGAGACGTTAAACAATACACAATGAATCATTATTATTAGTACCTAAATCAATTTATAAACATTGCTAAAAGTACACATGTGCATGTATTAATAGAAATGGATAAAAATAATTTAACAAATCTATAAAAATGCATTTATTAATTGTTGCATTAAAACACTTATACATTTAATTAATTTAAAGGTGAAAACGTTTAAAGAAAATTTATTTAAACCCTTTCGAAATAGGCATATACTAGTAATATAGCAGCAATTAATTTTTTTTTATTGAGGAAAACGTTGGGTGGGGTAGGAGACTGCCGTCGCATGTTACCTTTATTATTACCCCCACTCGAATTCGCTGACGGCGACCGAGTAGAATCTGGGAATTAAGCACTTTGATAGTTTTTCTTGCTACTGTAAGAAAAGTAGTAAGAAATTGAAGTCATTTTAGCCTAGGATATTCCTAAGATGCTTTCGTTTTACACCATATGACGTATCTTAAGATATTCCTAAGTGCTGCTCCTTATGGCCTCTATGTAACAAATGTAACATTTGGCGTAAAAGTCATAAATTGTAGTTGTACGCTGGGTGATCAAAAAGTTCCTGAACTAATTGACTAACTTCCATAGAAGAAACAATATTTGGTTTCGATGTTGATTATATTTTAAATTAGTCCTTTCCGATATTAATGCACATCTGCATCGTTCTGCTCATGCACGAATCACGTGAAATAGGCGGTCACGTGACTTCCTCTGAAGCGTTCTGTCACAAAAGCTTTAAGATTTTTCTGAGTTTTATATTTCTTTCCGAGTAAGATAACTTTTACAGTTTATTTGTCAGAATGGTAAATTCTCGGGAATCAGAATGGATGGATAAGAATATCTTTTCCAAAAATAAGCATGGCGACCATCAAAACCCAAATCTTCTGTCTCTGGAGAGACGTTTATTCAAGGTAGATAGAGAATGGGTGTCTCCTTTTTATCATATCTAATATGTTTAAAATCTAAAATAAACCGATATCTTAGGAGGTTACTAATTATATTATCGTTGAAATATTCAACTATTTTTGAAAGTGTAAACTGGAGGTCTTTCATAGCACATTGCTTAATTAAAACCTCATTTATTTTATTGTAACATTTTCAAGCATCTGCCTTCCTTCACTAAAACGACTAATCCAATCATTGACTGAATTTTAATAGGAAGTCATTTGTCTTAATAAACTATGTGTAAATTATTATATGCTACTTCAAAGGGATGTCTAAGATATACAATAAATTATACAGTCGTTTGTTGAACGAGTAGAACTGAGAAAACCATTTTTCGTCACAAGTTACCTACATAGTAACGTCATTTTCACATTGTGACGTCACAAACAAGGAGCAAAACTTTATCCTGCATATGCTATTTACAGAACTTGGGTATGGCTATGTGTGTACCAATTTTTTTCTTATCTTAATTGTGGTTTTGTAAATATAGAGATAGGCCTAGTTCATGAACTTTTTGATCACCCTTCGTATATTGTGATAATAAACATATTTTCTTCACTAATGTGTTTCAAAATAACGATCATTAAAGAATGATAGAATTTAAAGACATTTGGACCCTCTTGGCCCCTCATATGATGCGTCAACTTTTTTTGGCGTAATACTATGAGGTGCAATTTTGTTATTTACGGCAAAAAGTAATATCACGTATTCCTTTCGACAAGGTGATATCACTAATTCGAATATTTTAAGTGATATTGCGTATTCAATTTCAATAGGTGATATGGCCTATTCGAATAGGTGATATCACCATGTAATTTTGCATATGTGTTGAAACAAGAATGTTAGCATTCTCGTTTAAAGTCATCATTTTGTAAGTTCTGTGGTCGATACAATGACCTTGTCAGCAAATAAAATTTATCATCGAGTTAAATGCTGACTGTTGTCTTTCATACTCATTGTTGGGCCATTATTTACACTCTGGATTGTCGACGGCTTTTCGGCTATTTTAAGATCATGACGAGGAGCACACGACGTTTGTGACGGTCGGCAGGGGATAATCACTTCTCCAAGGCACATGATTCCACCCCGATGTTTTGGAGGTCCATGTTAGAACTTGAATACTGTTAACATGTTGTAAATTATATATCACTAACATGTAAATACATACAAGTGTTGCACTCAACCCCTTTCCATCCCATGTCACAACTGCCTATACAATTCCCTTCGTGACGATCGCAATTGCAATGTCCACAGATAAGATTGCAGTTTTCTCCATACAGTCCGTTTACACAATCTGTGCAATTAGAAATTAAACAAAATGAAGCAATGTATGGGGTGGGGGGGGGGGGTACAAATCTGGTTAAAATGTGCAAAAAGTTAATAAAGTGGAAATATGTTTTATTTAGATAAAAAAAAGAATGTTTTTTTTCTTGTAAAAATCTTTTTATCACAAGGTTGAAGAATCTGAATTAAAAGTAACCAGCGGGTTTTTGGCAGATGAAACCATAGAGAGATGAACAATCGTGATCGTTCCATTTTCCCTGATAAGGAGCCTGAGGTGATAATTCCACACAATCCTCTACGCCACCATAATTATTTGGTTCCCCAGGATACCAGTTATAGTATGTGCCGACCTACAAAATTAATTCACAAACATTACAGTACAAAAATAATAGAACATTGGAATTTTAATCATGTACAGTGTACTGGAATATTCCCATGAAAAAAAATTCAATGATTAATTTAGTTAATTCTGACAATTAATGTCATTTTGATATTAATCAGGATTTTACTGTTCCATCCGTCCATTGCCAGGTACCCTCCTGAGTCCTGTCATTAAGTCCAATCCAATAACTAGGATTTCCTTGTGTTTGTGCTAAAAAGATGGAGAATGCGTATTTTATGCCAAAGCAAGAGCAAAATCAGACATTAAAAAACAGATGAATATGTTATTGATGTTTTAGTTTGCAATTACTGGTATTTAAAACATTAAGTGTACTAAGTAATATCAGACTGCCTCAGTACTTATATCCTAAATTGTACTGTTATGAACAAAAAAAAATTAAACACAAATATTTAGCAAACATCCATGTTTGATCTTAGTTATATGTATATATCTTTTTTAAAAACATAAAATTATTTACTGATCATATAGAATTGCAAAAATTAAAAAACTAAGAAATATTTATTCTGAAATATTTAGAAAGGTATAAAATTAAAAGATTTAAACATGATCTCTCTAAATTCAAGAAATTTGCAATAAACTTGTGAGACTTTAGTAGTTTTCATTCAACCATGCAGTTCTTGAACGAATTGCTTTATTGGCCATTCGCACTTTTGCCTTTTGTTAAAGTATCGGACTCGCAGGTAAATCAGGGTGTCATTTAGAGAGCAATGTTTTAAGTACGATAGATGTCTAATACAATTATGTATGGACAAAATATCAGACAGTTTTCGATCTTAAAGGGCCTCAAACTGTCTGATATTTTTGTTCCATACAGAACTGTTCTCGACATATCCATTACAGAAAACTTACTTCCAAGATAAGACTGGACGTTTGCTGAGTTTATGGTTACTAGATACGTCCCTATATTTTGACAAGTTTGGTTGGCATCAGGCCAAGATAAATTGTTGTCATTAAACTGGTAGCAATTTCCATTGAAAGATGACCAGTTGCCGGTACATTTAAACTGGGCTGTCAAAGAAAAAAATATATATTAAAAAACTACATGTGTACAATTAACAATAGGACATTTAACTCTGGACACGACATAGTCCAGACATTTTACTACCATTTCTAATTATGATATCCAAAATATTTTTATTTCACTTGGTGGGATTTCTTTGCAGTATCCCAGGGTCTCATGTTGAACGCATAAACATCTCCACTTCTATAGATATGAAGTCCTAAAAATCAGAATCCCATGGTAGAATGGTGGGATTTTCAGTCCCACCAACTATCCCACCATTCTCCCGTGGGAGAAAAAATGTCAGATGGGATATTTTCTCCTGTGGGATTTTTTCTCCAACAAATTTGTTCAAATGGGATAAAAGTGATATAAAAATAGTTTGGATATCATAATTAGAAATGGTAGTAAAAAGTCTGGACTATGTCGTGTCCAGAGTTAAATGTCGTACTGTTACATGCATTTCTTGTTGCTAAGGCAACAAATGGTCTTGCGACCAACTTTTTTTCCAGAAATATATGCTTTTTATAAAATAACATTAATCTTATAAAATGTTTTACTGAATGTTATTTTAATACCCCCGCTTGAAAAGAAGAAGGGTATATAGTAATCGTTATGTCCTTCCGTCCGTCTGTTACGCTTTGGGGTACCCATCTCTTATCCGCAACTCCTCTTATACTACTGAGTAAAATTTATTACATATTGCCATTGTGCACCTCCTATTTTACTTTTTTATTCGAGACGCATTTTAGGTTTCCCATAGCAAAACATGGACATCGCCATTATATTCCTACCTATGACGTCACATACATGGCGCTTTCTGAATAATATTTGTTGATACGACGAGTTATTCCTCTTTAAACGTTATCGAAAAAAATATATAGGAAAACATGGACATTATGGGAGGCGGGGGTTTCATTTAGTGAGCTAATTGCTCACAGTGCAATGTACCTCTAGTTTTCGTCTGCGTCCATGTTCCATAGTCTTGCAACGTACAGCATGATTAATAAAAGTTTCATATAGAACCTCTGATTAAGGTCAGACGACACGTTCCTCAAATAAATGTTTTGTATCTCTTGGTATTATATAAAAAAAGTATTCATATTTGTCATTCTCTTCCGATTTCTACATTGTTTTTACATTGTTTTTAAATTTAAGTACACCCAAAATTGTGTTTTAGGCCATTTAGAAGATTACCCATAAGGGTTATATAAGAAATATGACCCTATCGTATCTTGGTCAAATGCCTGGTAAGGTACCCTAATTTTTTGTGAGAAAACTTAATTAAGTACCTCTATCTCAATGACAAATTCTTAAGAAAATATATTTTTGAGGAACGTGTCGTCTGACCTTAAGAAGATTTAAAAATCGGCAAAAACTACCATACATGTATTCAAAGAGAGAAATATCACTATAACTCCACCTTGAAAAGTGAGGGAGGGGGGTATATATTAATCGGGATGTCCGTCCTTCTGTCTCTCAGCCCGCCCATCCGTCCGTCTGTTACGCTTTGGGGTATCCATCTCTTATCCGCAACTCCTCTCATACCATTGAATGAAATTTGATGAAATTTTGACAGAATCTTTTATTATTACATATTGCCATTCATCGTAAACCCCCGGGTGATCTCGTCTTTACTTATAACCCGTGCGCAAACTCGCCGAAAAATCGCCGTATCTAATTAAATATGCATGGGTCATGTGATTGGCCGCTTCACAGAGTCGCGATGCCAAACAACGAATCACATTACGTATGCATGTTCGGCATTGCCAAAAACATGAAAAACTCATTCCGTAGTTAACACAGCTGATAAATCCCCTCACCAGTGCATTTTGCAGTAAGGAAGATGTGCTCCTATATAATATCTGACGGAAATTAATGCCAGTGACCTGTACGAATTGACTTTCATTGTTTTAAATCAAACTTCGCAAGTTTTAACGAGAGTAAAAATATTTACCATAAATAGCAAAGTAATAAACGTATTCTTCAAAATTGAAGAGTTCCATCTTTCTGATTGGTTCACTAAAACAACAAATTAGCATATTTTACGGCGATATTTCAGCTAGTTTGCCCAAGGGTGATAAGTAAAGACGAGATCACCCGTGGGTTTTCGACGATGATTGCCTTTGTTCATCTCCTGCTTTACTTTTTTGATACAACACATGTTTTGGTTTTCTCACAACAAAACATGGACACTGACATTAAATTCAAATGGTAGGCGGGGGTATCATTTAGTGAGCTCATTGATCGCAGTACCTCTAGTTTTCATTTATTTTAATCTTTTTCAGGTAGTAATTTACAGGTATTATTGGACAACTGAATTTAAAGACACATGTACCTTAAACACTCATTTAAAACATCTCTCAACTCCATTTCTTGAAATCCTTTTAAAATGCATTTCTGAATTCCATTTTGAAAAAGAAGTTGGCTTTATATTCTTTGTGTTAATACTTTTATAAATTACAATTATCAGTGATGTTCTGAGACACATCATAGTCGATTTTAAGAAGTGCTGGCGTCAGGAAAACAACCAAAAATTATTTTTACGTAATCAAATACAATATTTTTCGTAAATTATTCATTATTACTAGTACTTAAATCAATTTATAAACATTGTACCGTGTAAAAGTATGCATGTGCATGTATAAATAGAAATGGAGAAAAATAATTTAACAAATCTATAAAAATGCATTTCATTAATTGCTACATTAAAACACTTATGCATTTAATTAAGCAAAAGCTGAAAACGTTTCAAAGATAATTTATATAATCCCTTTCGAAAAAGACATATAATATAGCGGCAATAATTTTTTACTGGGGAAAACGTGGGGCGGGTTAGGAGAATGCGGTCGCATGCTACCTGTATTATTATCCCCACTCAAATTTGCTGACCTAGTAGAATCTGGGAATTAAGCACTTTGGTAGTTTTTCATGCTACTATAAGAAAAGTAATAAGAAATTGAAGTCATTTTAGGATATTCTTAAGATGTTTTCGTTTTACACCAGAAGACGTATCTTAAAGGGGCCTGGACACAGTTTCAGCTGATTTTTTAAAATCAATTTTAATGTTTACGATTTCTACCTAAGGCATCATCTATTGATTTGCAAAAAATTGAACATCATTTGTTTCTTAACAAACAAGATGCAGAACTTATAGTTCCGCATAATGTAAACAAGGCTCGTGCCTTGTTTTGTTAACATATAGAAAATATCATATTTATAAACAAACTGTTGAAGTAATTAAATTTTTAAAAAAATGTTTCTACACATTAATTCAGATAATTTACATTTATAATCTTTTTTAGATGTTTCATGTGACTGAAGCATAATACATGTATAGTAACTTTTTTTGTGAAATATAGAATGTCGATTAGTTATATTAACTTTAATTTGAAGTTATATATTTTTTAAACAATATATAAAAAAAAACTTTTTTACTACTAATTTTAAAATATATTAGCATATTAACCTTGTTTTAAACCCGGTAAAAAATCTCTGCCTTGGGGCTAGCAGTTATATGTTATAGTGATTTAATACAGCATGAAATACCCCAGGTGTCAAACTTTATATGAGATTTTAGACAATTTTAAATTAGAAATGAAAAGTTAAAAGTATTGTTTTTTCCTCAATAATCCTGTGTGAAGTTATAAATTTTTAAGCAAACCTGTGTTAACATAAACATGATACTAGCCTTGTTTACATAACAAAGGTTTGGAGCTCTAAATCTGTCTTGTATCTGGAAAACTGGCGTTCAAATTTTTGATGATCATTAGAAAGACCATAGTTAAATATTTATAAAATGGAAAAATAAATTTTGAAATTTTAGCTTCAACTGTGTTCATGCCCCTTTAAGATATTCCTAAGTGCTGCTCCTTATGGCCTCTATGTAACAAATGTGGGTACCTGTAAAGTGCGAAACGAAATAGAAAGGAAACAAAACGAAACGAAATCTTCCGAAACGAAATCTACCGAAACGAAACGAAATCAAGACGAAACGAAACGGAATCAAAACGAAATCTGCCGAAACGAAACAAAACAAAACTATCAAAATGTTGGAGGATTTTTTTCAATTCAAGGTACATGTATATAATTATGTAATTTTATGTGTAACTGCATGTGGACTTTTTTTTTTACTTCAATTAAATTGTTAATATAATAATTAATTACCGATAAATTATGTTCCCTTCTCTAATGATGCATTTACACTGAATCAAACTTCTAAGTGCTCACCTAACATTTTTTAAGTTTTAAAGAACAAATGCGTATAATAAATAATTTCTCTAATTCATGGTTAATGAAGCATATTTCAGTTCGATGTTGCATAAATTTCATGTAAGTATATCGTCAGAATTTGAATTAAGCAAAGTGTCAAGGAAATGATATACCCTCAAAATGAAAATTCACCCTAAATAATATCTATGGAGTAAGACCACCAATCGCTCTAATTACCACAAGACTTTTTTTACTGTTGGATACAATGTACCCCTGAATAGGAGATTGAACCATCTGCTGTCATACTAACTGCATAGATCTATCCAAACCGTTAAAATTGTGTGGAAGGGGGGGGGGGCTTTGACACTCCTTAGAAAAACCTCAAAAGTGTTCAACCGGATTCAGATCCGGGAATTTAACAGTGCATCATCACGTAGAGGCCTTTTGGCCAACATCCTTGGGCGTTTAGCACTTAAGTGCACCGCTTTAAGGATGATTCAGACTGCTTGAGCTGATATTAGACCGTCACGAGCACCGATTTCTTATCATTTCCACACGATTTTGTAAATTGAAGATGAAAATGACCCACAGCCTATATAAAAATGTGTTATAGAGGGTTTTGATACTGATTGTTAATTTTTAAAAGTAATATCAAGGACAATTAAACACTAAAATAAAAGTGAGGAAAACTTGGTGCAAGGATGGTCCAGATAACAACATTCCAACGGCTCTCCCTTCTGTCTCAATGGTCATGTTGCCAATATTTTGAGTGTTTTTAGTGAAACCAGTTTTTAAA